TCCAAGGAACTTTGGTGAGAAGACATTACGAGGCGAAGGAGACTGTACAGGAAAGCTTCGGCTTGCCTTGCCAGAGACTTTCAGCGGCAACCCTGCCGACTGGCAAGAATGGTCATGGAACTTTAAAGCGTACATTTCGATGTTCGAGGTAGGAGCTGTGACTTTGATGGATCGAGCTGAAACACGAACTCCTGCACAAGGAGACTTTGGTGATAAAGACTTGCAGGTAGTTTTAGATACTGGTGATGTGGATGCTGAACAGACCGCGAGCCGAGTACTTTTCTCCCGGAAGCTACATTACTTGATTGCACAACTTGTGAAAGACTCGGCGAAACTTGTCGTTCGGCAGAATGAGGACAGCAACGGGTTTGAGACATGGAGACGACTTCACAAGAAGTTCTCGTTGCCAGGAGCCACGCAGAGCACGTCACTGTTGACGCAGCTGTTGGACTTTAAGTTCAACCCAGCCACCTTTGAGCAAGACTTCAATGTTTGGGAAACAATCAAGAGTAGATACGAACGCCAAGCCGGGCAACCTTTGCCCGACGGTGTCTCGGTAGCAACTTTGCTGAACAAGACAACGGGAGCTTTGCAACAGCATCTTCGGTTGAATGCCCAAACTTTGGCAACTTATGCGCAGGTACGTGAGGTGATTCTAGAGTATCATAGATCAAGACTTTTGATGAACCCGATTGCACAAACTTCGGCAAATGCAACTTTCCAAGGTGGAGCCTCGGCTCCAATGGACATTGGTGCTTTAGCAGCAGCTTTGTGGAAAGGCAAAGGAAAAGGAAAAGGAAAAGGAAAAGGAAAAGGAAAAGGAAAAGGAAGAGGAAGCGGAAAAGGAGGAAAAGGAAAAGGAAAAGGAAAAGGAAAAGGAAAGGACTTTACGAAGTCGTATGGCAAAGGAAATCAGTATTGGAACTTTGTGAAAGGAAAAGGAAGAGGAAAAGGAAAAGGAGGAAAAGGCACTTCTAGCTCTACTTCGGTTTGCTGGTCGCGCGGTAAGACAGGACACTTTGCAAGCAACTGTCCACTTACAGGGTTTCGGCGGTTGACGGTGAGGACCAACTTTGGAACGACGACCAAGGCGATTGGACTTACTTTGGTGAGTCTGATGATTGGACCGAGTGGGCGATCAACGCCGTGAGCGAACTTTACGACGACAGTAGCTGGGGTCAGACTTGGGATCATTCACTTTGGTCCTGGGACTCTTGGGATTCCTGGGATCCTTGGTGTTGGTCTTCGGACCTTCCTTCGGAATCGTGGCTTGCAGAGGCCGCAACTTCGGCGAAGGCCGAAACTTTGACACAGAAGCCTAAGGAAGAGGCTTCGTCGTCGTCCAGCGGCGCGGCAACTTTGCCCGTATTAGCTGTTACTTTGGAAGGAACACCAGGACTTTCAGTCCCCAAAGCCAAACCCAAGGCAAAGGCGACTTTCAGAAAGAGCACTTTGCTCATGTCGGCTGTTGTNNGGCAACTTTGGTTTGGGGAACACTTTCAGGGTTGATGGAATGACGAATGGGGTTGTAAACTTCAACTTTGGTGGATTCGGAGAGAGCAACAACTTTGATCCTGGGACCCTTGTGGCCCGGCTTGAGACTTTCTCCTTTAGTGGTCGAACGGATGATAACCAGCGACTTTTCAGTGTTGGGGATCTTGGTCTTAAGAACTTGAACACGACTTTCAAGGATGTTGCTCTGGAAGAGCACTTGGTGGCATCAATTTTGGAAGATACGGATCCCTTTTTTGATTCAGGAGCTGCCACACACTGTTGTCCGAAGGACTTTGCTTCGGAGTGGCCGGCTTCCGCCACTCACAGGGAAGGCTCCACCTTTGAGGAGCGTTTCGGGCCAACCTTTGACGATCTTTGGAAGATGACTTGTCAAGGTTGATTTTGATGGCCAGCCCTGCTTCTTGCACTTTTACGGTTGTGATGTCCCTTACTGTGTAGTATCTGTTGGCTTTGAGATCGGGATTCGATGTGAGCCTTTCTTCTAAGAAACAGAACACACTTTCAACGCCTGATGGGCATCATTAGGCATTTCTCACTTTTGCTTCTGATGCCACTTTGGCACCTTTCAACAAGGATGAATTTGAGGTCGTGTGCAACACTTTTCACAACACGAGTGCACAAGGTACCTTAGCGGCCCCAACTTTCAAAACTTTGGTACAGTATCATGTCGACAAGTGGGAGCTCTCGGGTAACACTTTGACCCGCATACACAAAAGTACTTTCTTTTCTCCCGAAGGGACGAAAGATCGCCCCGTTGACCTGAAGGACTTGTCTGATGAGCGCGTAACTTAAACTGAGTACGCCGACGGCAGAAAAGAAACTTTGGCAGACAACTGGCGCAAGGTTCCTCAGGAACGCTGGAAGACTTTAAGAAGGCTTTGCTTGAGCAACTTTTCGAGCAGGACCCTTCAGCCTTCAACAGGACAGCCGTGTGGCTTGACTTTCCGTCTTGCGGGGTGCGTGTGCACTACGAGCCCCGCAGCACGCTTTTTGCGCCGGAGGACTCTCACTTTGAAGAGCAGCTTGGGAACGGACGCATGACTTTAATTGTGCGCCCGGAAACTGAGGCAGAGCCCTTTTGGCACGCTGACATTTGGCGCAAGAACGTCGCAACTTTGGTCCGCGCAACTGTTGTTGGTGCCACTTGAATTGAAAAGGCAGGCAGATTTGCAACTTGTTGAGCGCGAGCCAGAAGCTCCTGACAACTTTGTTCGACGCCCGCTCGGACTTAAGCAGCCGGGCGAGCCAACTTTGACGGAGCGGCATGAGCACGAACTTACGCACTTGCCTTTTAAACCGTGGTGTGAAGTTTGCGCACGTGCCAACAGCAAGCAAACCAGGAGTCTAGACTTTCCCTGACGCAGCCTGTGCTGCAGATGGACTTTAGCTTT